TCTTGTTTTATAATTTATTATTTAAATACTTATAATGAAAAATATTAAATATCTGTAGTATTTTTTGTTTCTTTTTTTTTTTTATTTTTTTACATATCTTTAGTAAAATTACCTAATAAAATATTTATTTCATAATTTACCTCTATGCAAAAGCTTAATGAAATCTATTTTGATTGTTAAAAATAAATTTTAACTTAATTTTAATCAAAATATGTCATAACATAACATTAAAATATAAACTATTTAAGAAAATAATTTTACTTTTTTTTAAAATAAACATATAGAAATAATATTATCTGTGAATAAAATTTATATTATTGAAAAAGTTAAGAATATATAAAATAAATGCCTGTAATAAAAGTATTAAATATATTTGTAAAACTAGCTTCGTAAGAATATTAATCCAAATTAGTTACATTTATGCAAAATAAATTTAGCTTAAATGATTTAATTTTCTTATTAAAGTAATTTTACTAAAAATATTTCTAATTATTTAAAATATATATATATATATATATATATTTATAAAAAGAATATTGTGGTTTACATAATTATATCAAAATATAAAGTGATTTGGAGTCTTAAATTTAAAAGTACGTCTTATATTAAGAATAACTTAAAATTGAAACCCTCAAATAAAAAAATTTAAAAATTCAAGTCTTACACAATAACAAAAAGTCAAGTCTTACAATAAAATTTCTCATTTAAATTTTGGTGCTCGGTTAGGTGAATCTGAGTCGTGTATTTCTTAGATTCAGTGAAGGGTAATGAAGTATTTCTAATATATATTTTTTTTTATTATTTCTATTGGCTAAGAGATTATTAATGATGTGGATAAACAGACACTGAAAGTGAAATGTATTACTGTTCACCATCCCCATTATTACTACGCTTTGCCCCTTTGGACCATTTTGCCATTGTCATTTTTTCAAAAACCTCAGAAAATTGTAAAATCCTATGTACCATGCAATTTCTGGCGAGAAAATGTCTTCCGACTCGACATGTTTTCCTGTCGTTCAGCCAGCCAAACAGGCCGGTCCGGCGTCATCCGACGAGTGATTGCGGCCGGGCTTGGTGTCGTCCGACCGGCATTTTCGGACATGCCGTGCACGTCTAAACATGCTGGTCGGACATCACCGATCCCGACCGCAATCCCCGTCGGCAATTTTTTTATTAGTTTTTTTTTTGAAAATATTATATTAGTAAAATTTATTATGTTATAGATTAGAACTGATTATCTTATACATTAGAAATGAGATTTTATAATGATAGAAGTTAGAGAATATTATGTTATAGGTTAGAATAGATTATCTTATAGATTAAAAATAAGATATTATCATGTTAGAAGTTAGAAACTATTATGTTATAGATTAGAATTTAGTATGTTATACATTAGAAATTAGTTACTATCATGTTAGAAGTTAGAATTATTATGTTATAGATTAGAAGTGATTATCTTATATATTAGAAATGAGATTTTATAATGTTAGAAGTTAGAAATCATTATGATATAGGTTAAAATTGATTATCTTATAGACTAAAAATTAGATTTTATCATGTTACAAGTTAGAATTATTATGTTATATATTAGAATTAATTATCTTATAGAATAAAAATTAGATTTTATCATGTTACAAGTTAGAATAATTATGTTATACATTAGAAATGAGATTTTATAATGTTAGAAGTTAGAAAATATTATGTTACATATTAGAATTGATTATCATATAGATTAGAAATGAGATTTTATAATGTTAGAAGTTAGAAATCATTATGATATAGGTTAAAATTGATTATCTTATAGACTAAAAACTAGATTTTATCATGTTACAAGTTAGAATTATTATGTTATATATTAGAATTAATTATCTTATAGAATAAAATTAGATTTTATCATGTTACAAGTTAGAATTATTATGTTATACATTAGAAATGAGATTTTATAATGTTAGAAGTTAGAAAATATTATGTTACATATTAGAATTGATTATCTTATAGATTAGAAATGAGATTTTATAATGTTAGAAGTTAGAAAATATTATGTTAAAGGTTAGAATTGATTATCTATTTATCATGTTATAAGTTAGAAATTATTATGTTATAGATTAAAATTTATTATATTGTAACATTATGAACATCGTACTACATTGCATGTGTCATTGGAAGATTTTGGAGGAGACAATATTGATTACAGTTTGGTTTTGTTACATATGGACAACTTTCTTGTGATTACGAAGCTATTGAGTGGACAAAAGATGTTGAACTTTTACATGGTTTCGAATTGATTATTTCAAAACACAAGAAAGAAGGAAATGTTAAGATTTTGATGTGTAAGTAAGAGGAATGTTACAGAGGCAAAACATGAGATTTAGATCTTCTAGACGTACAAAAACTAAAGCTTGTAAATGCCCTTTGAGATAAAAGTCATACTAGTGGCAAAAACAACATATTGGAGGATCCATGTAAGTCCTAATGCGAAGAAGGAAAATCATAATCATGCATTTGCTGTGTATCCTAAAGGTAACTTTTCAAATAAACTCGTTGGATTTTTATTCTATCTAGCTTATCAGCTAATTTTATCAAACACCTAGTTTTTTAGCTATGCGTCATATAAGCTATAAGCTCGAAAAATATTAATAAGCTATAAACTACTTTATCAGCTAGTTTTACCAAACATAGCTTAAACCATGAACTATAAGCTCAAAAATTACTTACACGGTTTTGCTATGAAGCCAACAGTTGGCTCCATAGTGGAGCCAACCTTCTATATACAAGAAATAAACCTACCATACTAATAAAATTATATTAATGTTATTTAAGTAATCGTAGAACATGGTAGGTTTACTTGTTGTATATAGAAGGTTGACTCCACGATAGAGCCAACCGTTAGCTCCGTAGCAAAACCGATTACTTATCGGTTTTGCTATGAAACCAACAGCTGGCTCCATAGTGGAGCCAACTATCTATATACAACAAATAAACCTACCATACTAATAATATTATATTAATGTTATTTAAGTAATCATAGAACATGGTAGGTTTACTTGTTGTATATAGAAGGTTAGTTTATCAGCTATCTTATTGTTTGTTACGTTTTTGTATATTTTTCTTGCGTTTTTATTTGCTTGAGTCGAGTATTTTTAGGTTCGGTTTGTGTGTTCCGGTCAATTGTTGTTCGTTTTTAGTAGCTTTGCGTTCTTGAGTCGTTTTTGTATATTTTTCTATCTTCCTTGTGTATTTTGGTATTTTGTAGGCTCGGAAGGAAGAAACAGTCATTTCGTGATGGGCGGTCTCGAGTGCTTAGTTATGGGGTTTGTCGGTGAATTGTGTTGATTAAGAGAATCGAATATTCAAGGTGTTTGGAGTCCATGCAGTGTACCTAAACCGCCAGTTTCTCTACCTATCCCGCGAGTTTTCCTACCTATCCCGCGAGTTGCCTCTATTTCGCGAGTCCATGCTAGCTTGCGAATTCCTTATGCTATCCTGCGAGTTTTCATCCTCTATCCTGCAAATCTCACGTATCCTGCGAGTTCCACCTAGCTAGCGAAATCAAGATGCGAAAATCGAAGACCTACCTTGCGAGTTCGACCTATCCTGCGAGTTTTCATCATTTAATGTGTGTGTTTTAGTGTGTGTTTATGGTCTAGCTATAAATAGACATTGTGCTTTGTAATTTTGAACATCACCCTCATTTTCCAACTTTTAAGTTGAGAAATCCTCTCTATTATCTTTTTTTCATTTTATGTTTTGATTTGGAGCTTATGAATCAAGTTTTCCGGCAAATTTCCGGCAACATTGTTTCGAGTAAAGTTTCGAGCTTTTGACTCTGTTTCTCTTCCCAAGTGCATGTGAGAATGGGTACTTAGTCTTAAGCCTCATTACTTCGTATATCTTTGTTTGCTTTTTGTGAAAATTGATATTGTGCTTGTGTTGCTCGGAGGAAAAGATTGAATCTTTAGATCGTGAACGCTTGACTAAGTGTGATTAGGAAATGTATGCTTGCTCGTCTTGTGCTAGAGTTTGGTTTAGCTTCCTAGGGTTTTAGCTAGCATGACAATGTTCGGTTATTTTTGTGTGTTTGATCATAGACACTCCGACGAACCAAAATCTCTTTTTCCCCCTTAATTTCTCTCATCTTCTTGCGTGCTTTCTCTTGCTTTGTTTATTGCTTCCAATTGCCTTCAATTTCGTAGAGTAGTCTAGCTTTAATTCAAACCCCCAAAT